CGCCCAGCTCTATCTGATTTTGGGTGGCTGGTCGGGCTCTGACCCAGAAGATCTGAACCAGGCATTACAGGCCATGGCTGCGTGGCTCAGGCTGAGCCGGCTGAAACTAAATTGTAATTGAAATTGTGATTTTAGTGTTTTATTGAGTTTTATATATGGGCTCGCCCCCTCTGTAAGCCGCCCTGAGCCCGCTTGCAGGGAGGGCGGGGTAAAAATGCTTTAAATAAATAAATAAATAATAAACTCAGCATAGACGGAGGTCCTGTGCCTGATTCGGAGCGGACCGGGGTTGGGGCTCCCTCTCCTGACCTTCGATGGGGCGCCGTTGGTGCCAGCGTCGGAGGTTAGGAGTTTGGGAGTGCTCCTGGATCCCTCCTTAACTATGGAGGCCCAGGTGGCAGCCATTGCCAGATCGGCATTTTATCATCTGAGGCTGACTCGGCAGTTGGTTCCCTTCCTCAGCCGCGATGACCTGGCTACAGTGATCCATGTGACGGTCACCTCGAGGTTAGACTACTGTAACGCTCTCTACATGGGGCTGCCTTTCTCGCAGATCCGGAAGCTGCAGCTAGGGCAGAATACGTCGGCCAGGCTGTTGATGGGCCTCCCCAAGTGGGAGCACATCTGGCCTGGGCTGAAAGTGCTGCACTGGCTGCCAATAGCATACTGAATCTGCTTCAAGGGGCTGGTTCTTACCTTTAAAGCCCTATATGGGCAGGGTCCGACATACCTGAGGGACCGCCTTTCCCCACATATACCCCCAAGAGCACTTCGGTCGGGGACACAACACCGCCTTTTGATTCCAGGCCCCCGGGAGGCAAAGCTTGCTGCGACCATGGCCAGATCCTTCTCGGTGGCGGCCCCTACCTGGTGGAACGAGCTCCCGGAGGAGATCAGGGCCCTGCGGGACCTCTCACAGTTCCGCAGGGCCTGCAAGATGGAGCTCTTCCGCCAGGCCTCACAACTTTAATGCCAGTAGCTCACAAAGTAGAATTTTTGCTCACAGACTTCACAGCTTAGAGGGAGCATTGATCATCAACGGGATTTTTAGAAGAAGAAGAAGAGACTGGATTTATACCCTGCCCTTCACTTGGAGTCTCAGAGCGGCTTACAAACTCCTTTCCCTTCCCCTCCCCACAACAGACGCCCTGTGAGGTGGGTGGGGCTGAGAGAACTCTGACACAAACTGCTCTTTCAGGAACAGCTGTGCCAGAGCTTGTGACTGACCCAAGGTCACATCAGCAGGTGCAAGTGGAGGAGTGGGGAATCAAACTCGGTTCTCCCAGTTTAGCGTCTGCACACTTAACCACTACACCAAACTGGCTCTGTTTTTCTTTACCCTGTTTTTCTGCCTGCGCAGGGTAACCCAGGTGGCAAACAAATTAAAACATACAGATTAAAATCTTATCTCAAAGGCGTTAAAACTGACACAGGAATACGTCATTAAAACAGTCTAAAGCCGAAGCTTAAGATACGTACCAAAGATAAACACAACAGTTTTTTGGGCAGGAAGGAGGGATTGTGCTGCTTTCCTGTGCTTTTGAGCTTGCATGATACTCCTTGCACTTTTTTTTAGCATTCTTGAAACCAGTGTTCCCTCTAAGCTGGGCTAGTGTGAGCTAGCTCCCAGTTTTTAAGCCTCCGGCCCACTCATTTTTGTCTTAGCTCAGGAAAGACGGCTCCAGAGCAGACTAATTGATGCAGCAGCCAAATTGCTCGCTCACAATTTTAATGCCAGTAGCTCACAAAGTAGAATTTTTGCTCACAAGACTCCACAGCTTAGAGGGAGCCTTGCTTGAAACCCTTTAATCTGGGTCAGCTTGTCTCTGTCCTTCCAAGGGTACTGTCCAGAACTGATCATAGTGCTCCAAAATGGGTCTCAGCTCTATCTATTTCCCTAGGCCTGGAGATGGTGTTTCATAAATTCTGGTAGCTGTGGTTACCTAGGTTTTTTCTTCTGTTTCCCCTTGTGCAGATCCTTGGAAATGAGAAGTGGATGTCACTACAGCGTTCCCACCGTTTCCCACCCTCATCCCTCCCTATAGATACAAAATGGCGGCCAAGCTGATGCAGCGTTGCTATCGACTCTTTGGCGTCTCATCTCCGTTGTGCATCCGCACCAATGCGATGTGTGTGGGGAGCAAGAGGGTACTTTCCAGAGCACCGTCCCAAATCCCTCTCGCCTCGCTGAGCTTCACGGAACGAACGGACAAGCTCTCGGTCCCCGAGCCAGAGTACAGAGCGCCCTCCAACCGCGAGGAGATGGAAGGTCTCATTGGCTCTGCGGCCACCACAGAGGACCTCTTGCATTTGCGGGAGCTACACCCCGTAAATGCAAACCAGGCTGCCTTAATAATCACTCGGCTCTCCCGTATGGTGGCGGAACAAAAACTGGAACCTGGCAGCATTTTGGAGGATGCACGCTTCCATCAGCTGCTTCAGTTGGTGCACACGGAGGTAGGTTCTGTAGCCCTGGAGAGACTGAGCAGGTGGCAGTTTCCTGGGAAGACATGATGATTCCATGTTTTGGTGTGTGTGTTCCTTTAAATCTTTAGTTTGTCTGCAGTAATAT